TGATATGCGAACAAGCCCTAAGTAACATTTCTATAAAAAGTTTTAGTCACATCTTTTTGACTGGTATAAACTAATCAAAAAAAATTGTGACGTCCCATTTTATAAGAATAATGGTCTTCAAAAAACATCTGAGACGACCGAAATATTTGCCTTCCATTACTCTATCAATTTGTAAAATATAAGGTCGAACAGACATATTTTTCTAAACCGGAGGTGTCCTTTCGTAGATTAGTTTCAGACATCAGAACAAGAAGACCATATCAAGTTTTTCAGCTAGCCTTAACGTCAAATTTCAGAAGTCTTGGAATGTGTGAAAAATTCATCCAATCGAGAGTGGATTGGTGCTTGCGATCACAGGAGGAGATCTTCTGTATGACAAAGTCCGCAGATCAGCAGCATCGACTCAAAAACCTGGTTGCTACTGCTAGTAGTGTTAATACCTACGTCTTAGCAACGAAATCTCACCTGTAGGTTGAAAGTTACCGTATCATTTTCATTGTTGGCTAGTTAGTATCTCTGGCATAGTTTTCAAACGCGTATTGGTACTTGCCGATGGATTTAAACACCGTCGCCACACAATGGTATAATGTTTTAGCAGTAAGAGATGAGATTCGGGGCTTCACGCGTGCAAGGAATCCCCGAAAGTGCGTAGTATTTTCAGTTCGAATTGAGAGCCGTTCGTATCTAATCCTTCAACAGACATGTTCCGTGTAACGATTTTATTATCATCTAGTATTAGTTCACGGACTAAAAATGCAACGTCGCTTGCAAGTGTTGAGAGACGACCTGTGTCAGTAACGTCAGCATCTAATGAAGAGTCTGTCTCTATTAATGTACATAAAAGAATGTCGAGTTTGATTAGATGGTGCGGCAATTGTCGTAATTGTCTCGTAAGCTATTGCTATCTACGTAGCTAAGGTGCTCAAAAAAAAAATTCAGAATTATCGCACTATTTTATTTTTGGCTTAATCATACATCATTCGATAGAGAATTTTACGCTGATCAAGATTATCTGTTTTTTAGCCTCCCCAGTTCACATTATCAGTGGAAAAAATTCAAAAAACTTGACGAATCTCTTTTTTCGAAAAACCACTAACTTTTTTTAAAAACTGAATAACTTGGTTCGACCTCATTTCGAAGCCGTGAAAGTATATTTTTTTTATTCACCGTTGAAAACTGCATCTGGAAAACTGTATTTCAAGGCTCAACACTAAAAAATATTTGTTGGGCGCGAAACGGGACCGATTTTCGGTTTCAAGACCCTTATCTTGCAAACCTATCGCAGCTCTTTGGTTAACACATGAAGCCAAGTTTCATACGTCATTCGATTCGCCTTGAAACGAAGAAAAAAAGTATGAATCGCTTTTTTTACAAATGGTTTTCGTTCTTGAGATATTTGAATTTTATTAAAACTTAGCCGTTTTCGCCTAAAATCGGGCAAGTCGTTTTTCGTTAACTTTTTCATTTTTCATCTAAAATTCTTCAAACTAACAGACAATAAGTAAGAAACGACGCTAAATCTAATGAAAACATTTTCAAGCTCCCCAGGTGATTTCTGGAAGGTCTCTGGAAAACTTTGTGTCATATCTCGTACATGATTGTGAGTTTATTTGTGATTTCAAGCTTTTTTATTCTTTTCTTACGAAATTCGTCTTGTTCTTTAAAATATGAGGTTTCTTGAGTATATAAAAGCAATTAAAAAACTAAAATATATCTGACTAATGTGAGTATAAGTAAAACATGTATTAAAGTAAAACGCACTAACTATCCAATTTACTGTTGACTATTTTACGGGGAGATACGATATTGTCTTTACAAAGATTAGAAAAAACATTTGTAGAATATGTTTATAGTCCTTTCCTTCTTCATAAGCAGTGAGAGTTTTCCAAAATCTTCTACACAATTTCACGTATATTTCTTTTTCTTCAAAATTAATTCGTGAATCATTAATTAATGAAATCATTCTAGTAATACTTTGATCATTGTGGTTTCTCACGTATCTTTTCATATGGCACCACATACCCTCTACAGGATTTAATTCACAATGAAACTTCGGCCCATATAAAACTTTTACACCATATTTCGAAGCTAACTTTTCTAATTTTGTAACCTACAAAATCAATAGAATTCGAAGGGAAACCTTTGAGATGAAAACAAGAAACTCCTTTAATTCTAATCTGTTTTTCTTACGTTTTTAAATGTAGGATGTCTGAGTAAGAGAGCTTTCAATTCATCAAGTTTGCAGCCTACAGGCACACGTATACCAAGATCCAGTGCAATATTTAAAACCCTTTTGACTGTCCTTTTAAATTTCCAGTAGTAAAATAACAATTTACAGTTTGTTTCACATTTTTGTTGTCAATGAATTCAATTGTTGGTACTGGACAACGGCGCCTGGACTTTTACCAAAGTCATGAAGGCTATACTGTCTTTTGGTGTGTGTAGAGCATTGAAGCGAGACAGGAGGTCATGAACTGTATAAGGGAGAGATGTAGAAGATAATCGAAGAGAAATCACAATACAGACACACAATGAGAGAAATCATTAAGAAAAGAAGAGAAAAGGATGAGAAGTCAATGGGAAGAATGCATATATTCTTCACACCCTGTACGCAGTTTTAATAGTTGTTTAACAAAGTTGCTAATAAAATGAATAAGAAAACACCACTCAATTATACTCGATAAATATTGTCCGAGCGAAAAGGCGAGGGAGAGAGAGAGAGAAAGAAAGAATATTTATTGTGTTCATTTGATGCTTTGGGTTAACTAAACACATCGATTTTGAAATCAACCACGGTTACAGTTTGAAATGCAAAGTTAATGTGAATTACATTATTTGATTGATTGATTGCATTCGTAACTGATTTATAAAAGAAGAAAGTAATGATAAATGTATCATTATTAGTCTTTCTGTTATTGATATTCCTATTATCCTGATAGGCAAAGAAAAAACATGAGTTATAAAATCGATTGTAGATTTAAGACGACAAGTTCGGCGACTAATTCGAGAAGAGCTTCACGTGATTTTGAGAAAGCGTGTAAAACCGCAAAAAAAGAATATTATCAGAAGTTGTCAGCTGAAATGAATTCGTCATCGAAACCCTAGTGGCGTCAAGTTAAAAACACATTAAATAAAATCAACAATATTTCCATTCCACCTCTTTTTGACAGCTCTTCAAAAGAACTAATGATAGATCCGAGAAAAAAGGCTGAACTTTTAAAGAAACATTTCCCGATGGTTTGCTCAATGCCACTTAACGAGGTTAATGATGTGCCGTTAGTTGTTCCAACATCTAGCAAATTCTCAATGACGAAATTTCATATTTTTGAAAGTGAAGTTTTTGAATTACTGAGTGGTATTGATTGCAGTAGAGCTAGTGCGCCTGGTCTGTCAGCGAGAATAGTTAGAGAAGCTGCACCTGTCATAACTCCGATCACAACCTGTTTATTTAATCAATCTCTAGAACAGGAACAGTTTGCTGAAAATTGGAAACTTGGCTATATTACATCGGTTATTAAGTCTGGCGATCCTCATGAAGTGAATAATTATCGTCCTATAACCTTACTACCTGTTTTGTCAAAAATACTTGAGCGTTTGATTCATCGGAAAGTGTATGGATATTTAACAAATTACAACCTTCTAAGTGCGAACCAGTCAGGATTTAGGCAAGGTGATTCTACTATTAATCAATTGATCGCCATAGTTCATGAGATAATTATTAGCTTTTGATAATAGTGAACGAGTCTTAAGTGTTTTTCTAGATTTTCGTAAGGCATTTGACACCGTTTGGCATAGGGGTTTACTAGTAAAGCTAAAAGCAAAAGGATTACCACCGTCCTTGGTGAATTGGTTTGAAAGCTATCTCTCAAATAGAGAAATTGTGACCATGGCAGACGATATTCCATCGGCAGCAAGAATCGTTGATAGAGGAGTGCCCCGAGGCGCGGTCTTGGGACCGTTAATGTTTTTGATTTTTATTGATGATCTTGGTGATAATGTTAGTGCAACAATGCGATTGTTTGCTGACGATGCCTCACTCTACCGCGTTACAGAGAAAAATGATATTAGAAAAGGTATAGACCAAGCAAATGAAGATTTACTCTTAATTTACGAATGGTCTATAACCTGGAAATTGTATTTAAATATTGATCAAGGTAAAGCTATTTTTTTTTCTACTCGTGAACGCGATACTCTCGCTTCTCTATCACCCGTCTTGATCAATAAGTCGCCTATCTCTTATGTTGTTGAACAAAAACAGTTAGGCTTAATTTTAAGATCAAATCTAGACTGGACAGCGCACGTAGATTATGTTTTAACTAAAGTAAGTCGCTTGACTGGTCTTCTAAAGCTTCATACACGTGCGTTATCTATACAGGCAGTCCGCTGTCATGACTTCTGGCCCGATGAGGCAATACGGTCAGATCGGGCAAGGAGTACCTTACCCCTTTTGGCCAGATTTCCACATTTTTCTCTCGCAAAGCATTAGTGCAGAAATGAAAGCGATGACGCATAAAGAAACTTATTCCACTTGAAAGAGCATCAAAAACTGTATCGATAAAATTAGTAATCGTCATAGTCCTCGACAGTTTTTATATCTCGATCGGGATTAAATCTATCGAGACGCCACGTTAGACCGCCACACGAAACTTTATCGTGACATATCGTGCGATATAAAGGTTTCGCTTTCAATCCCGACAGATTATTATCTCGATAAGCTGCTTTATCGCAATTGGAGCTCTTTATTTCGATAAAAATTTCATCGGGGACAGAAACCGCTAACTTCATTCTGCATGGTATATCGCGATAAATTTTTTTATAGCGGTTTAATGTGGCGTCTAGATAGAGTTAAGACCTATCGAGAAATAAGATACAGCCTCAAGTCGCCGTATTTTATCGAAAAAAAACCTCATGGTTACTCTAACAAGTTTAGCGAGCACACTCAGAGTGCAAGAAAATATGATATTTTGAAAAGGTAGTACTTAAAAGCTGGTTGTTCTTTCTTTAAAAAGAATATAAGACCTTTCCGCGTTCGTCAGTGTCAACGCTTGAAGACTTTTGTATAAAAAAAAGGATCTTAATTCTTAGAAATAACACCTTTTGGAAGGTCTGTTTGTCTTAATATGATCTCGAAGTTTCAGTCTTACGAATATTTTGGTGTCTAAAAGTATTTTGTTCAAAATCGCTTTTTATGACGTTATAAAGTTGAGAATCTGTACGAAGGCTACAAAGGGTGACCTTTTTCTCGTGCAGTTTTGTGAGTATTAGATACAATTGAAATTAGGACTTGAAATGAAAAGTTAATTTTTAATTTTTGAATAATATGAGTTTACCTCCGTAGATATAAGTTTCCGCCGCGCAAAACTTTTGAAATCAGATAGAGCACAAAAGGTTTTACAAGGTAGTGAATTTTATTTACATGGTTTGAACAGCACCTTGCAAAAACTCAAAACCTGAAATATTATTTTAAAATGAATTGTACTTTCGTTCTATAAATACATGATGCCAATTCTGGCGGAAAAGTTCTGAGTTTTCGAATTTTTTCTGCCTCATTTCTGCTCTTTTTTCTTCTAAGCCATTCTGATTCTGAATGTCTTTTTTTTAGCTTTTTCTGGTTTTCATATTTTAGATCTGATATTCCTGATTGCGAGGTTTAAGAAAGTCGTATTTCTACAACGAAAGGTCGTGGGCAGCCGGGAACAGTCTTATTTTATAGAGATACGTCACTCTATTATGCACTATGTCAATCTCAAAAATAAAAATTTTTTCTAACAGATTAACTGAGCTTGAAATGAATTGCATTATGTTCCCGAAGAGAAAGCCGGGTAAAACATGGTGAAATTAGCGTCCTAACGGTCTTAAGAAACGCTGTTTAGAAGGAAATTTTTTGTTTCCAAAACTTGTTTGTTTTCATGGTATTGAACTTAATAGTTTCTATTGTATTTGATCTTAATTTATAGGTCTGAAATTGTTTTCTAAACCAAAAAAGTGAAGTCTTGAAAAAAGACTTTTCTTGTATAGCTCCATACGAGGTGTCGAATGAAACTAAAATTAAAGTTTCAAAACTTTTAGCTTCTTGAAAAGTAAAATTTTAACCTTTTTAATTTCGCGTATTTTCTGTAATATTTTAAAAAATATAAACGATATTTTGACAAATGTAAATAGAAAGAAAATACTTTCAATAGTAACGTGCGTGGTCTAGTGGTTAAAGACATTTACTCGTGAAACGAGTGGTTACAGGTTCAGTTGCTGTCGTTCTTTTCCTCATTCTTTTCCCTGCCTAGGGAGTTTTTATTTTAATTCATCAGTATATTTTTAAAACTTTTTAGCATTAAAAAGTAGCATAAAAAAACGAAAGCAAAGAGCGTCGTCTTTCATAAGCAAGTGAGTTCTCCCTTTAGCTATTTCGAACTATCCTAATCACTTATTAGGAATTCTTCATCTTCAAATAAATATCGTTTAAACCATCGTATTAAATGCTATTTTTTTCCTAATCTGTTGACTGTTCTAAAATGGCATGGTGATAGACAGTTAACGGTCGGTGTGAATTTTAGTTTTGAGGGCATACAGTTAAATGCCTGTTTTTAGTCCATGACTCGTGGTGAAATAATGAACTGAAAGCGGTGACCGTGAATGGTCAGTTTTTTAACAGATTTTAGCCGATTAAATGTCAATTTTTTAGACATATAGTTAACAAGCTATGTAATTATGAATCTAATTAGAAAAGCTATGTAATTCTCAGCATAAGTGCACAGCGATATTAGGGGGAGTGAGAGGAAAAGGTAGATCCTTCTTGGATTCACTTAGGCATATCGTTAAACCCACTTTTCTTAATTGCTTATGCGGATGAGAAAAGTCTTCTTTCTCACATAATCATCAAAACTAAGAATTCCTTCCATGCAGGTAGTTGTTGTTGTGTACATAATTCAAAGTTAAAAATCTCAGAATTGATTACAATACGTTCTCGAAGAAAAGTCCGAGTAAAACATGGTGTAACTAGGACTGAGAAAAGGATCCTAAACAACTGCTTCTTGCTCGAGCGTTTATTTATGCGCCAATTCAGGCGTTGCAATGAATCAGAATTTAAAGAACATTAACTACTGAATCATTATCTTTCGTTGTTGGCGCCGTTCCCACTAGTTCTCGCACATTTATTGAAAGTGCGTAGGAAAAGCGCTTTTATGGGCTTATTCTGCGCGCTGAAGGTTGCTGACTTCAATTTTGGTATTTGCACCTGAAGAAATAGTCGAATATGGCTAAATTTTGCTATGTATGATACGCCAGGTATTACGGCGTGTAACCATTGGTACTTAATGGCGCTAATGAGAGCGTTACTATAGGTGATCAGAATGAATTTCGGTATGAAGAGTCGAAAAAGTTCAAACAAAAAAGGTTTCACCAAACTTTCACGATCATCAGAGCATATAGCCTAGATTATATGGGTAAAAGGAAATCGAATAAAAACACTCGTCTCAGAAGTTGCTTTTTTTCATATGGCCTTTGTGTCATAATCAAGATCAGACTTCTTCTGTGTAAAGAGAAATAGAATCACAAAGTATTAACGTTTCCTAGTGCGTAATATTGAAAACAGTGGGATTTCTTTTCTGTAGAGAATGAATAGTACAAAAAGGCTTTCTCGACTTGATTATATATAATCTACACAACAGCTGTGATCCGAGTTTTTCCTTCTTATCTGGCAAGCTTATTCTTTATGCTTTTGATAGTTTCATACGAAGCAATCCAATACTAAAGTATTCATGTTTTAGAGTGATAGCACTTTCGTCACGTTAATCTTCGTCACATGGAAAAAAGAACTTTCGTCATACGTGACGAAAGTGTATGGTATTTTTGGGGGTACCACCCCATCTGACGATTTTCTGAGTGATAAACTGTCATTTCTAGTCAAATGAAAGCCGTTTCTGAGCAAGAAACCTCATGACATGAGCCTAACTGCTCAAGAAACAAAGTTAGAATGACCTTGTTTTCATAAACGCAGAACAAATGAAATATTTCGTTTATTAATAGAAAAATATAGGAGGATTAACGGGACGAGCTGCACAGTTGGACGAAATGAGAATAATAGTACTATTTCATGTGAAATAGCAAAACAAAAGGGTATTTTAAGAAGAATATCAAACAGTATGAAAAGCTTACAGAGGTATCAGATTTTTATAATGATCATAACAATCAATAAATAACAATCAAGAAAACTAAGAGTTTTTTACAAGTCCGGTTCCCCCAAACCCTCCAGCAGTCGAACTTTATTTTAGTATATTTCGTATAGTTTAAGATGCACTTTCATTCAAAACACTGAGTTTTCCCATTGTTTATACTCACCAGATGATGGGCGAACTGATATATTGCGATTTGGTAAAGCGCTAAAGTCCCGAATGGCTCATTTTGCAGAGCAAAGCCTTAGTTACAATCGTGCTTGTATATAACTACCAAATTTGAGTAACAATTGATAACAAAACGTCTGAGAAGTACAGGTATTTGTGCAGATGCATAATAACCAATTTCAGAATTACTGCATTTCTGTTTGGTACACATAAGAAATATGTGGATGTGTAGAGAATTTACGAAAAAGTATTTTGATTTAAAAATACTTTATCAAAATACACCTTCTAAGAATGTCAAACAGACCTATTGCCACCTCCACACATAGTACTATGTTAAATGATGTTAGTTAGTGTGACACGACTCTTCCGCGAATTTTTCATAATATAAATTTGGGTATTTCCGGGAATTTCTGATGGATATTGGGGGAGGGGAGGGGAGAGTAGTGTGACAGTGAGAGTGAGTTTGAAAAGTTGTTCTGCACTGCATAGTGTGAATTTGCTTTAGTTTTCCAAGCACTTATATATTGTGTAATTAGTTGAAGATGAAGCTCTAATTGACACCAGTAGAACGTGGCAATAGTCGTTACTACGCTACCCAAAAATGAATATATTTGTTTACGAAAGAAAAAGGAACTGAGAGATAACTAACCGTTTAAAAAAACTAACTACCGTACTTTGAATCCTTTTAGAAGTTTACCGTTAAAAAAGAAAACACTCAAACAATCAAAAACAAGTTTAAACTTTTGTCCTTGACTTCGTAAACGTCTATTTTACTTCAAAAATGGGTTTAAAAAAATACATCTGAATTAACCAGAAAAGATGAATATATTTTATGTAAGATTATCAGTAGAGTCAAAATTACGTGTGAAGTTTGTACTACAAAATTCTTCCTTCCAAGTCCAGCTTTTTTTATACAGTGCAATATCGTGCTTGTATACAACTACCAGATACCGATGGTAAATTATATACATAGTATCCGTTACATAGCGTAACACTAATTGTTGTTGTATAAAGGCAGGAACTGCTCATAAAGCACACTGTACCAGTGGTTGTTTGTCCAGCAGTTGCCGGATGAGTTCCTTGATAGTATCCAGGATACATTGAAGCACATTGATAAGAAACAGTAGGATTTGTAGTGAGCATTGTGCCGGCATTACCCATAATTCGATACCAGTTCGTGTAAAAATTATAACAGCTTACATCACCGTAACTGCCTGAACCGGTAGGAGATCCAATATTTCGTGTTGAATCAGCTAGAACGTAGTAACCTGTGCATTGACTAGGATATGAACCACCTGATGTTATTAAGAACAAGCAAAATTCAAATTTGATAAACCTGACAACAGAAAATACTGTATTCTACCTGCTGTAACAGCGGAATTGCTTGCAGAGGGTGAACTTTGATCTAAGGCAAAACTGAGAGTCGAATTCTCAAACAAAAATCTTTTTTCTTGTATACCATTACTTGATTTTGTCAATGACCAGACTAATATTGGAACCAGTGTGGCAACAGCAACTAGCAAACCAATCACGGAACCTAATATACAATGTTTTGTTGTTGATGTGCATGCTTGCTCTCTAGGAAACGTTAGAAAAAAGTAAAAAAAATTAGAATTGGTATTATGAGCGGATCTTTCTAAGCTCTACGATAGGCAGTAGAACAGAATTTGTTTTTTCGGCCACATTATGTGTCGGTCTGCCATCCATGTATCATAATGAATGAATGTACTTCATACAGTGAGCATTCAATGCTCAAAACTTAGTAGTTGAGCAATTCAATGAGTGCTATTGATACTTTCTGAGTTTTATTTGAGTACCAACCAACTCAAAATTCTTTATTGATTACTCTTGATTTACTCATCCACCATTGTATTTGACATGTGTGAATATGTATAAGAAACATAGATTTTAGAAAAAACATTAAATTTTTCTCAAATATTCCCTGTATAATCTAATAAATGCATATATTATTTATCAAACAAGCATGATGTCCTTGCACAGCAAGTTCATCAGCTGCTAATAAATAATGATCTACTAAAAAACCGTTTGATGAGTACTCATCATGTTCATGATAACAACTGTAAATAAGCACTCACCTTGATATTTAACTCCTGATAACTTATAAACTCCAAAATTGTATATGAGGAGGTCGGTTGAGTAGAGAAAACAGGCACTTGAGTACGACTGCCTTCTCGCGCACACTCCGTTCTGGTTGAGAAGATCTATTAGTGCACAAGATTTGAGGAAAAAGTAAACTTCAATGGATTCTTCCTCTCGCTCTTGATACTTAAGGGAAAAAAGAATTGTATTTACTTTGGCGGTACATCATCCGGTGATGTCCATACTTGATTTCGTCCACCAAATTGTGGTTGAATTGCTGATATTTGTGACATATAAATATGTTGAAGATTTGGATTCATATTCATTGTTTCATCAACAGCGTAATTTTGTTGATTATTTAATGGAACCAAACTTGTATCACTACTAGATTTTGCCCATTCATTACGTAAATAACTATCGCTCATTTCTATTATCACCGTATGTTGCAGTATTAGGTCTTCATATATACTAAAAGAAAATATATACTTGCAAAAGATAATGAGTATTATCGATTCTGGTCAGTTTAAAGAGCAAAAACGTACTTCTAGCCTTAGTGTGTCCTGCACAGCTTATACACTTGGTCTGTCGTATCGATAACAGTCCGTGTTCTATTTGCTGCTGGAGATGACTTAGCGCCACTACAGCGACTTGTATTCTGCTGAAAAGGATCGTACTGATGGCAGCGATGCATTCCTACTGATTGCCACACTTGTGGACGAGGAATAATTTCCAGGGACCATGAAACATGCAAAAATCTGGCTGAAGTACTGTAACATTACCCGAGTATCTAGTTCCGCCTGTCGTTTGCGGTACCACACGCAGCGGAACCCGATGCGAATGATCGCAATGGCAAACAGGTAGAATGCCGAGCAAAGACGTATGAGACGAAGGACAGACTCGTTCTATATGATGGATTCAAACCAAGGGGGAAAAAGCATACTTCTGTACTTCTCGATACTTCTCCGTACTTCTTGATACTTCTTCGTACTTTTTTGTACTTCTCCGTACTTCTGAAGTACGAAGTACGCTTTTCCTCCTTTCGTATTTCGTACTTCAGAAGTACGGAGAAGTACAAAAAAGTACGAAGAAGTATCAAGAAGTACGGAGAAGTATCGAGAAGTACAGAAGTATGCTTTTCCCCCCTTGATTCAAACACAGATAACCGTTGTGCAATCTCGTGATCGTATCCCGCAAAGGTTTAGGTTACTAGTTCGCATTTTTGGTGGTCATGCTGAAAGTGAATCTTTTAATATAATTGAATACAACTTTATAGTGGATGTATTACTTGTAAAGATCTGTGTTCTTTAGTTTCTATAATTACTGTTTATCTTAATCATTTCAAGCCCAAAATAAAAATAAAAATGTTGTTATAGTGCGATCCCGTCTAAGGGGGTACCCATAAACATACCCTCAAATTTTGTCAGTTTGTAGAGAACACCTTCAAGGATCTAGGGCTGCAATAACTCGCGGGTTGGATTAATCTTAGTGGAGTTATGAAACTTTAGAAATTACCAAAAGTCGATTTTCCCAACTATTTTGCACCTAGTGCAAAAAGCATTTCTTGCGCAACACGCCTCCTCAATAAAACATTCCAAAAGCATTCTGTTCAAGGAAGGTTGTTCATTATACTCGCCTCTATGTGATAAGATGTGGTTTTAAATTGGCGTCATTATTCTGAATTCATAGGCCCAACAAGAGGCCTAAACCTGAAACTCACCATACTCAGAAAACTAACCTTTTTAGTAAAACTTTAGTTATAAACTTATACATGATTATTTTTCAATGAAAGTTTGTATATAGAAGTGAATACATGTCAAGAATATACTGACTGAGAGATATAAAGGGTCAAGGGATGTTATATATATATATAACATGGCATTGATGGCAGTAAAGGAAGAGGAAAGCCTTTGACCGATTGGATGGATTGCGTTAGGGATGATTGTGGTCTCACTCAACCCCAGATACCAGTTGGACAGTGCCAAAGGAAATCAAAAAATAAGATCGAAAGGCGTATAACTCTC